CTACTGTTCTTGTTTGATATTTGGCAGATGATGATCAGATGGAAGAAATGTTTTTTATGTGCTATAAAAATGCTGTTCTTGCCATCGGGCAGAGGGTATGACTGGTGGGAACACTTGAGAATTCAGACCTTCTGGTGATGGATCCACTGTATACTCTCTCAATTTTCGGGGAGACCTCACCTTTACCAACCAGCCCCATTCCTGGCCCACCAGGAATACCCTGCAGCTATATACAAAAAGTGTCTGACATTCCGCATTCGTAATGTGGTGGAGAGTTTGATCCCACTCTACTGGAATCAGCCTCAACCACTGTGGGTTTTCTCAAATGGAGAAATTGTACTCCATGGCGGAACTGGTCTTTTAGGGACACTGATTGGGAGCGCACACAATCAGAGATCTTTTCGCCTTGGCTCCTGTCCTCCACATCAGAGGATTTTTGAATTCTATTATTCTAAACATGTTTCACGACCCATGTAGCCATGCACTCCTCTAGCCCATCTCTGGGCGAACAGGTTCCCTCTGTTCCTAGGAGAAATCATATCTCGCTTTGATACCCTCTCTCTCTATAAATATAATACACTCTCACTTAACATGACTCCCACGCAGATGAACATATGGAATTTGTGGAAACTGCTGCCGTTATTAAGCTTGTCAGGCATCATAAACCACATCAATACTGTCTTCTTCCCCCTCATTTTTCTCTCTCTCTTTTTTTTTTCTTTTTTTTCTTTACCCTTGTCATTGTTTTTTATATTGCATATACTTCAACCGATTATATGACAAATTCATTTGATGCTACTGTTTGAAAATAAATAGAGGAAATAAAGGCCACATTTAATAAGATGGATAAGCGAAGCCAGCACATTCTTTTATGTTGATCTTGGGCATGACATTACAATGTACGCAGCTGTTTACACAAAGAGCTAAATTGTCCTTTAAGTTATGTCAGACATACTGTAGGTGTCTAGTGTTTTGTTGTGACTTGCCAAAAGTACAGTATAATGATAGAAGCTAAATTTCACCAAAGGGAATACGTTTTAGCTTTTGTTCAGAAGCCCTTTTCACAGAATCTTAAAACCGCGAATAAAATGTTTATCTTTTTTTTTTTCTTCAAACAGTTCAGCTGTTAGTTTTAATGCAACAAGCGCTATGAGGCAAATGCGTCAAAAAGGCAAAAATTCCTTATTACAAATACACAAAAATAAATCCTTAAACTCCCATTACACCTGGGCGGCAGCAACAACCATGGCTCACATCAGCCCCAATACATACAAAAAAAACAAAGAAAAAAAGTGTTACCTGCGCACTAGCCCAAATCCCTATCCATATTTAAATAAATGGAGGGGTTTTTAGTATCACTCCAATGGCCATTAGATGTAAGTCCACCTGCCACGTCAAGGCAAACCTCTTAGGTGGGTCCTACACTAACAAATCACCTTGCTTCCCTCAGCTTCAGGTAAATAAATCTCCAATAAGACAGAGAGGGGTATTTCTAAACCCCTACATACATGTTAACCCTTGATGGGGAACACATGGGATGGGCAGCAGCATTGTAACATGGCTGTGTGATATAAAAGTGAATCCTCATTTAAACAAGGTCCTCATCTACCTATTGTTCCTGTTACACTTTGTTATTGTCTCATTTGTTAAATTCCCCTTTTATTGTAAAGCGCTGCGGAATAATCTTGCGCTATATAAATACCAAAATACCAGAGTATTGCAGTATGCAATGATACCTTTTTTTATTGGACTAACATAATCTTTCAAAGACAAGCTTTCGAGAGTTTTCCTCTCTTCTTCGGGTCTGAAGCAATACT